ATTAATAGAGTTTAATTAATTAATTTGTTATGGAACATTATTTTTAATATACTATAAGCTCATTATGTTTTATATTTTAAAATGTTATGTAGAATGTACTAAGCAGAATCAGAATAGAAACTATGTATTATTTTAAGTGTTAAATTTGGGGGAAAGATAGAGAGGTGTCATACTTCAACCAGTGATTACAGGAAAAAGTCTGTGTTAAAGAGAAAAGATAAATAGATAATTGAAAAAGAACAAACAAAAGATACAAGTATAATGATTTAAATTGAGATTAAATAAATAAAATAGAATTAAGAGAGTGAAAAGAGGGGAGAAGACATATGGAAAATATAGAATGTTAAATAAGATATGAAATAGTATATAAGGTGAGCATGAATTTGATTTATGTCTGTACAAAAAGTTGTAACCCGGAGTTAAGCCGCTTTCTAAAAAGAAGTTTTATGTTTTTATGTTATGTATTTTGTTTGTTTATGTTTGTTTATTGAGGATTAATGATGTTGGATAAGAACATATGAAACAGTAATAATAATATGAAATAGATGAAAGTATAAGTTTAATGAATAAAATTGAACAGAAATAAAGGAAGAAACAGTGAGAAGTTGGAAAAGAGTAATAAGATATGAAGTTGAATATATAAGATGCATATTAAATTGTGTGTGGAAACACGATAATTTAGAATTATGTTGTACTTAAAAGATGTTTTATTTGTTTTGTTAAGCAGTTTTTAGAAAAGATGTTCTATCTTTTATGTTTTGTTTGTCTGTGCATTGTCTTTGAAAATTAATAAAATTTGTTTAAAAATATATATATCAAATTTATATGTTGCACTGTATTTAAGCTATTTTAATAGGGTTGTTGATCTGAGTTGCTGTTTTACACTATCTTGGTAAGAAAAACCCTTCATGCTGTATTTTTACTATTCATTTTAATTACTGTTTTTTGTTTTTAATATTGTATTTTAAGACAGCTGAAGCAATCCTTTATTTTAAAATAATCAATGCTTTTATATGACTTCTCCACTCAATGAAGAGAGAAGGTGTATGCTTTTCTTTGTCAGAAAACTCCCAACCCCTTTTAAAAACAGTATTAAAATATATATTTAAAAAAAACACTTTAAAAACATACAATTCTTTAAAACCAAGGAGTCCTCTCAAATCAAGTAGTTTTGAAAAGCTATCTGGAAAAAGAAGCTTTATTAGCATCTAAAAGCCAATGTTCTGACCTAGGCTTTCCCCAAAAGCACTAAGCAGGCTCTTTGTCCCAGCAAAACCCCTTTTATTAAACGAAGGTGAATTTCTTGCATTGACATTCAGCCAAAGGCCTGGCAAACAGTCTTTCAAGGGTGTAATTAAGAGCAGAGACCTTATCTAGCTTGGAGAGCTGCCAAGTAAATATTTTCAGCTGCAGTGCTGACAAGGAAGGACTCAGCAGAGTCTTTGAGATGCACAGATCTTCACACTGCTGCAATGAATAAATTGTTTCCTGCAAAAGCCCCTTCCCCTTTTGCTCTTTTAATCTCTATGGGAGGGGCCATTCACTGTCCATCTGTGGCTTTACTCCCACATCGACCCTTAGTGGTAATTGTTCTTTCCTTTTGGCAGCTCTGCGCATGCACAGGCTGGGAACTGGTTTCAGCTGCTCCCCCGCCTCACTGCTGTCTGACTCCGAAGGCAGCTGGTAACTGCCAAGCTGCCCTGGCCCCATCTCTGTCTCTGATGCAGAGCCCTCGTCCAAGCCTTCCTCAGCCCCCAGGACTGGCCCATGTTCCTCCCCAACCTCCTCATGGTCTGGCTCTGCTGCCAGCTCTGCTAGCCGTTGGCAGGCCACAACAACCAACATGTTTCCCTGTAAACCCAATTCAAACGCATCTATGGAGATTCTCAGTCATCCAGGTCATGCTGTCACAAAGATGCTTTTTCAAGAGGCAATTGAACTTTCTTTGTTTTCCCAGATGTTTCGCTTCTCATCCTGAACTGAATAACTTTTTGGATGAGAAGCAAAACATCTTCAAGGAAAAACAAGAAAGTCCTTTTGAAAAAGTATCTTTTGGACCACATCAAACTCATTACAAAGTTGTTGGTTTGTTTTTTTTTTAAAAAAGTGAGATTCCAGCAGTGTATCTAAAAGAGAGATGATATTTCAGATTAGTAAAATATTTATCTTTGCAGTAATAAGCAACAATTGGCTCAGAAACAAATGAAGATGTTTCAGAGTCTATATAAAGCATTCCAGACAAATTTACACAAACCATGGTTTCCAAAAACATTTCAAGATTTTCTTATATAGACCTTGTTACCATAATAATATCAGGAAGTAATTAAATAGATTATAAAAACAATGCATATAACTTTTTGATATTAACAAGATGTATCAGGAGCAAATAATGCAAAATGCATTTATTTAGAATTAGCACCATCCAGTGGACTAGGAAAGTCACACCAACTTAAAATTTCTATCATCAAAACTACTTAGGAGTTACAAACCTTAGAAAGCTTATTCTGCACATAAGTTTTTACTACTCGGGGCTGCTTAGGCCTAATACAATGTGTATTAGTGAAAGCTACTTCCTAATATGAGGATATTAGATTTTTGTTCCAACCTCAGTATACTCAGCATTGTTACTAAGTGAAAATTATAAGACAACAACTGTGGGAGGTGAGAAGAGAGATGCCTTTTTATGAAGTCACTAGAGGCGCTAATAATGATAAGTTGAGGGATAGACACAAGGACTGAGGATAACATATCTGCTTGCTTATTCTGAGGAAATCTGCAGTCTTTCCTGATGAAATGGTGGGAAGGTTGTGGAGAGGCCAACAGTTCCCAGTTCAAGCCGCTTGCCCAGTGAAAGTAGCTCTGAGTAGATCCTTGAGGCCTTGTTAGTACTTGCTCACAAGAAGCCACATCCATTGTTTTTTTGTTCAAAGTCCATTTCCTTCTTCCTGGAGCTAGTACAAGGGTGTTTATTACCGCCTTTCTTTTTTATGCATCATAAAATCAACACCAAGTAGGGGGCGTACATAAGCGCACCAATCGTGCCTACCGTCCCTGTCCTATTGTTTTTTATTTTTCTTATAAGTATCTATCTCATGTATTCAAAACTATATTTATTCTTATACCTGTATCTTGTAAGCGATTGACAAATCAAATAAATACTAAATACTGAACCCAAAATAGATGGTGGGAGAGACAACTACCATCATCATCTCACAAACCATCTTGCTACCTGCAGAGGCACAGACCTGAGCACAGGCTAAGCACTGAATAGTTCTGTAGTCATATTAAGAGCCGATGTGTTTAACTAACTACGGTACATATGATGGCCTTGTCCCATTCTCTCTCAATACCATTGAGCAACTACTCAACCATGCTATCCCGATATGTTTGTTAAAGTCTGTGCCTATCAAATTAAACTCTGCTTTATAAGTTTTGGATAATGGGATGGTGTGTAAAGTTTTAGACCAAAGCAACTGGCTAGGATGATGAAATTCATCAACCCATGGCATCAATAAAGTGGAAAGTACATAACCATAGGGAAAAAAAACTTTAGCAGATACAAAATGTATGCTTAATTTAATGGCTTGTTATTTTGAACCTGAAAATATTGTTGTGGGGAACCATTATTTGGAGGACTGCATGTGGCAAGTTTGAAGCCCGTGTTAGAGGCTAGTAAGTTCTTCTATGTTTAATTTACTTTAAAACAATTTTTTAAAAATGTTTACCTATAGAGTTGGAAACTTTCTGCATTCTGCAATCTCCACTGACTTTTTAGCTGGACAATTTGGAAATTGTTGTGCAGCCCTTTTCTCATTCCTCCTCTTTCAGCCTTAAGAGGTGAAGTATTTTCTAATATATATTGCAATAAGAGTTGTGAAGCAGTCTGGATGAAATTTTCAAGGGTTATCTTCTCATGAGATACTAGCTTGATTTTAAAAAAATGTAACATTTGCATGGATTTTGATTCCCATTAAAGCCTATAGATGAATGTGTTATCTATTTTTGAACCAATTCAAACAAGAGATTGTTGCCTTCAAATCATGCCTTATTTAATCTCAAATTTTGTTTGGACTTCTTGGAAGCACAAATGACAGTATCTTCAGCATCTCATAATCCACAATCAGATGGAGGCACTACTTACTGTAGTATATAGACCAGACCTGGACAATTTTGAGCCCAAGGGCCACACCCAGCCTGTGGGTGGTTCCAGCTGGCTAGCGGCAGCAGGGGTGAGGTATTAGCAGCAGCCCTCCACAGCAGTTCCATTTCTCATGCGGCTCCTTTGCAAAATTAATTCCACCCACCCACCCAATACAGACAAGAAAAGATTTACTGTGTATCAGTCTTTTTGTCTATCGTTACACTTTGTTTTAGAGATTGCTAATTCAGATCATTTTCTTCTGCTTTCTTCTACACACACAGAGACCATGGTCCTAGACTCTCTTTCTAGTAAGATATAGTTAGTTAGGTGCTGGGCTTTGTTTGTCCATGTATCTCTTGTAAATAAATCCATTGTTACACATGCATAGGATCCAGGATCCTAGCTGATTAAACTCCCCTACTCCTAGTAATTATGCTTATGATGAGAGAGAGAGGGAGGGAGGGAAGGAGGGAGGGAGAGAGAATCTTACCAGTTAACTAGGACGAAGATGTCAAACAAAGCTCTGATTGAAAAAGTATATCTTTGCAGGCACTGAAACACAATGATTCTTTTGTGCAATAAAAATACATTCTTTATTCCCAGAAAAATGCATGTGGTAGATAAATGTTCAAATAATTCCATTGAAGACATTAAGAGGGAAGTACTAACATAAGCCTAAACATTAGTGTTTTTCAAAAATCTATCAAGATATATTACTGTGAAAAATCATTGTGTTATTCTACAAAATGCCTATTGCTATGAAAATAATAATCATGTCCTACTACTGAGTTGGATATTGCAATTTATTCAAGATTCATTTCAGCTAGATACACCAAAATTATCTACCTTTTTCCAGTCCTTTAAACTGCTTATTTTTTTTATTCCAAATCATATAGTATGGCGCCATGCCACTTATTAATTCCCCAATGTACTTGTTAGCAATAACTCCCTTGAAAGTTGTCATAAATTGTATTATGATTTCAATAATGATCATGTTACTAATGGACACTTAGCTAATTCAAAGAGTTAGACCTACTAACAAATTAAGATGCAGATTGGTGGCATTAGCGATCAGTAAGTAACCGCACTGATCTATCCCCAAGGCAGGTAAGTGGAACTTCAAACAGACCATTCAGTTTTCTGGAAGCAGTTTGAATTTGAAAGCAGCTTTCTGAGCCTTGAATGTGCTCTAGTAGTAGCCTGATGGAGTTATGCATGTTGTAGTCAGAATCAAACATGATCAAGGGGCATTACAACTTGTTCAGAAACAAACTACTGTACTTCTGGAATGCTCAAAACAACTTGTTCCAAAAACAGAATCACTCATTTTGAAAGCTAAATGTTCCATGACAAAATTTTTGCACATCTTAATTACAAACTTAGTTGGAAAGTCAAAATGTGTATACACCTTTTATAGAAAAGTTAAAGATGTAATAGTATTTGGATGTTGCTGGAACTTCTGTTTACATTTCATAGTCTTCCTCACACATATCCATATTCCTCACAGATTATCATAATCAAATTCCTATAGTAATATCAGTACAGTATTAAAACTGTACAAATGTTAGGAAACATCAATTCACGGACAGGTGAATTTATTATAATGTAAATCTGCTTCATTTCCTTTGAATAATGCCATGACTGCCAAAGATTTAGAAGTGATGGCTTTTGCTTAACTCCTGTTGTCTCACATACATACCGACAGGTGGCATATTAAAGTTTCATAATCTTTCTGGAATATTTTCCCCCAGTGTTTGAAATATGCATGGGATCATCCTCAGTCTAAATAAATGCTATTATGGTTATTATGTAATGTACAGTATAATCCAAATCCTCCCAATAAAATAGTAATTTGTAGATTTATAATGAAACAGTAAAAAAGGGTATAAATAACCTGATGATTATTCTTATAAAAACTACGAACAAAAGGATGATTTTTCTATCATTTTCAACTAACAATGGAAATAACAACTAGCTTTGAATGTTATCAGATAAAATTCGCAAGATGGGGTGGAGGAAGAAACAATGCAGTCCCCCTTTAAGACTATTGCGCTTTATTCTTACTTTATACTTTTACCAGCAACATTTTTCTCTTTTTCCCTTTTCTCTTTTCCCCAGCTTAAGGAACAATTATATGAAATCTGAAAGCTAAGTCACTACTGCTAAATTCATAGGTAGCTATTTGTATTTTCTCTGACAGGCCAACTAATCCACTTGAATTTCTTTTACTTGTTATGGGTGTTATAGCTAGCTTTTTTTTAACCACTATTATTGAGAAATACTGCTTATACAGAAAATTCCTAATATTAAGTATTAATATTAAGAAAATAGAATCCATACTGTTAAAAGTATTTAATCTTATAAGCGTCCAAAAATAAATGAAGGAAAAAAAACATATACAGGGCAATATGCTGCCAAACGCCATAATAATTTTCTGAATGTGCCATGCTAGAAAACAACTTTTGTTTGGTGTCATGGCTATTGATCCAAGTCACCTCTTTGACACAATGCTTTTGGACAGAACCTTACAAATTCCTAAATGTCTTACTAGGTAATAGCCTTCAATGGCACTAGGTTCTTGGATTAAACTATTTGTCAACTGTGGTTTGACAGCCATATTAAATATACAGTATTTTGATAACTGTTATTTACAAAATACTCTTTCATGTCCAACCTCAGCCATTTCTTTCAGATATTATTATAAGAAAAAAACCCTATTCAATATGTTTCTACATATATATAATATTATATATATTAAATATAATAGAAACTGCTTCTTTAAAGAGTAAGATAGAAAAAAAACAAGGCACAAGCAGGTATGTCTACTTAACAAGTTTGTGATGTTATGATGTTATTTTACAATAACCCTCCAAGGGAGTAAACACCCAGTTTCATTAACAATTGTTACAGAAGACCAAAAGTTAACTATAGGAACACATCTGTTAATCTGTAATGTATCTGTGAGAGAAAACTTTGAGCTATATTGTATAGATATAGTCAGCTCATGTCTCCTTTTTTTCAGGTAATAATAAAACCAATCTTCCCAAACATTATACAGACTGCTTTTCAAAAACTCTTTCCCAGCTACTGCAAAATCTGATACAATCTTAAAACCTTCTTCAGATTTGCTATGAAGATATCAACTCCCTCATCAGACAGATCACTGACATCTGGCAAGAAGAGATGTGATTTATCAGAGGTAATCAAATTATGTGACAGAAAGTGCACACCAATTTTATTGCAATAGTTTACCATTATCTTGTTAACCACAATTTGAGCATTTTCTGTAGATCTATGCTTTGGATCATTTTTCCAAATACGTATTGGTAACAGTGAAGACCAAACTATAACAGTATCTGGGAATGCTCTTTTAAGAATACCTAAATCATTTTTCATTGAGATAATGACTGAAGTATTATTTTCGGGAAACAGATCATCTTCACCAAGATGAATTATTATTACTGATGGAGGAGATCGAAGATGATAAATTTCATGCAAAAGAGGTATAAGCTGTGTCCACATCATGCTCTGTATCCCATGCCAATACACATTTGCCCGTGAAGTTGAGATGCCTAATTGCAATCCTTGTGGGCGACTTTGCGCTCTTTCTTTTGATGCCAAGATCACAGAATTCCCACATATCCATATTTCCTTTGGTGCAGGTTGCAGATTTCCGACACCTAAAAGCAAAATACCACATTAACTCCTTTGATTCAAGTTCTACATAAGTTTACTATTCTGACGTCAGAACAGCAACAATCCCCCTTGAAAGTATAATATAAAAATGTTCCTATGATGGACAAATTATATCAAGACTTAAAAACAAAATCAAGAAATGCAGGTTAATTATATCTTCAAGAATGTGCCATAGTTAAATTTCAGAATATTGTTAAGACAATGGATTATGCAAAATAGAATGAACAGAACAGGGGATGACAAGAAATCAGTTCAACTAGGAGGTTGAAGATGAACTGGCACAAAAAGAATTCATTCTTAAAAGATATGTGCTGATTAACGGATGAAAGGACTTTTCACTTCATATTTTGCCACCACTATACCAGGACAAGCAAGAGTTTGGCTTACACCAGTGGTTCTTAGCCTTTTCTTCATCATGGGCATCCTTTATATACCTTTTGTGGCCACAAACCATGGCCAAGGATTACCAAGACTTAACTCAAAGTCTTAACTTAAATCATAACATTTCTTCAAACCTTTGTGGACCCCCCAGGGATCAGCGGACCATAAGTTGAAAAACACTATCACCGCCATTAATTCTCTCCCACTCCAAAGTAGCAGCAGTAATACATAAGCAAGAAAAATCATAGGAGCAGTGCTATTCATACATTTGTGATCTCTTAGCCTTTCAGAAGATTGGGCTTTTCCACAGACATTAAGAGCAGGGCCCCAAAATATGTGTATTCTTGTACAATTGTTATATAATGTCTTAATGGTTTTTCTATGAATTTGTTTATTTTTAATTTTGATCAGTTTTTATAACAGCTTTGTACCATATATCAAACTTGTTAACTGTCCAGATTTCCCCTATGTATTCAAATGGGACTGTAATTAATATAGGTTTTGTAACTTGGTATTTTAGTGGTATTGCTGTTATTATATTATCCTTGGGATGGTGACGTTATTCGGCAGGTGGCATTTCGTTCTTTTGAGAGCGGTACATTAGAATGTCATGTTAATATGTGCCATTGTGTATACGGGTAAAGGACAATAAAGGCTACCTTATCTTACTGCTTTTGCTCTGACTGCTTGCCACCTAGAGTTATGTATTTAATATGGGTAGTCATTTTGAGATCACCATGTGTGTAAATGTAGAAAAAACTGTTTAATCTGATCTGGAGAGAACATACACCTGTATTTGTGGCATCCCTCTGGGGCTCAAGAATCTGAAATACCCAGCTGTTTTCATCTGAGCTTAAGCTATTGTAAGAATCACAGAATTTCCATAAACATGTAAGAATCACACAATTCTGAATGGGGAAAAATGTGAAAAGTTAAGATGAAGGAACAGGATTAACGCTTGAAAAATGGGGAAAAGACAAAATAGCAAAGATCCAGTCTAGCATGAGTATCTAGGAAGATTCCAGAGCAGATCACAAAATATCTGATTTACAAGGAGTTTGAAAACTACAAGAATTATCATAAGTCAGCAAGAATTGATCAAGAACAAATCTTGCCAGAATAACCATATTTCACCAAACGCTACTGCTTTGCATCTCATTCTTGAAAAAAGGATTTTGAGATATCAGGAGAGGTTCAGAGAAGGGTGACAAAGATTATCAAGGGACTGGACTCTAAGCTTATGAAGAGATTGAAGGAGCCGAAAAAAGATGACCGAGGTCAGTATGGCAGTACTCTTCAACTAAAACACCTGAACAGATGCTACACAGAAAAAGGTCACCACCTTTCTTGCAACGAGGTACAGGAATAATAGATTTAAGTGATAAGACAGGTTCTGATTAGAAAAATTAGATATTTGGGGGGGGGATCATAATATTTGGAGAAGTGGGTATATGTGCTCCCATTCCTTGGCTACATGAAAGCCAAAGCGAAACAGCCATTTGTGGGAAATGGATTTGAGGGCCAAAATAGCCCTTTCTAAATCAATGATTCTAACGCTCTGTGTTTCCTAATATTGATAATTTAAATTAAAGCTGCAAATATGATGGGAGCACACAACTTACCATGAAACATGCAGTTATAGAATAGAACAAAACAGAATTAGGAATAGAATTAGGAATAGAAGCAGAGGGAGGGGGAATGGGCAGGGCTGGAAGGGACCATGGAGGTCTTCTAGTCCAGCCCCCTGCTCAAGCAGGAAAACCTATACCATTTTAGATAAGTGACTGTCTCTAGACTCTTCTTAAAAGCATCCGGTGTTGGATTTCTGGAGGCAAGCTGTTCCACTGGTTATCATAATCCAGTCACACATTACCTTACCTTTTCAATCGCTATCGGGACGAGACAAAGATCGGTCCCGTCACATTGGGTATACCTATGGATGGAGAGTTTGTCTATCCCACTCATTGGCGCTAATTTTTCTGGCAGAAGCATAAAGCCAACAAGAGGTTTTAGCACATATGATGGCAGGGTATACAGAGAAGTTTCCGTTCAAGAGAAAAGCAAACATTTCCAGATTTCCAGCCTTACTTAACTTACCTGCTGCTGCGGAGGGCACCACCGTGATTACAGCGGTACGTTTCTCATTGACTGCCTTCTTCCTTTTGTCGACTCTCGCCACTAGCGGAATAGGGTTCAAGTTTCCCCCAGAAGCTGCTACTCCGTTGCAACCCTCCAAGTTCACGGCGGGAACACTTTCAGGGGCTCCCATGGCCGCCGGACCCAGCAAGCCACGTCTCCCCGCTGCTATAACTGCGTCCAGGGCTTTCATGAGAGAGGAGTTGGGCGGGTTGCCCTCGGGATCGGGGGGCTGGGCATCTTTATTTCCCATAGCCTTATAGAGACCCGGGCTACCGTCGTTGGGCTTAACGGGTACCATGGCAGAAAAACGCAGGTTTGTTTGCGGGGGGACGATTTCACTTTAGGGCAGAAACGAGGGACTCTCTGTTCACTGAAGCTGCCTCCACCGTCCAAGGACCGTCCTTAAGAGAAAGACCACGTTAGGCCAGAGGGGCCGGGTGAGTGGACAATGCTCCACGAAAGAGAAGGAACCGAGAACTTTTTTCTGCGGAGCCACGAAAGGCAGAAGAGGCTGAGAGCAAGGGAAGACTACCTTCATATGGGCTGACGCGGCCCTGAGGCCTACCCTTGCCTGTCCACGCCCGCGGGTGCGGGGTGGCGCCCACAGCCAAGCACAGCGGTCCGTTACCCTGAAAACCACTTCCCGGTCACGTTCCCTCTTCTAATCCCGACCGAGATTTAATCGAGAGCATCAAAAGAGAAACCGCGAGATTGTACGGAAAACGGCTCTACCCGGCCGCCATAGGTTTAAAAAAAAACCCAAAAAACATTGCCCGATGGCTCAGGAATGCGCATGCGTATTAGCTTCGGTAGGGATTCTGTAGTTGTGTAAAATTTAGACGCGCACGGCGCGCTCACTTCCAAGTTCCTTTGGACTCGCTTTTTTGTCTCCGGGGAAGATTGTAATAGAAAAAGCGCGGGCTAATCCAGAATTTTATTTTGTTGTTATTACAAAGCAAATGGTCCCGCTTGCATTATGTGAAAAAGTTATTTACCACAGCAAGGTTAGCTATTGTGTTTTGAATTTTTAGTCTCAGAAGACATATAAGCAAGGAAAAAAACGATAGTTGAACGTTGCCCAAAGCCACAAGCGCAACAGCAGCAAACCGTATCTTCCTCAAAGAGTATTATTACTTGCGAGGTTTAAATATGTTTAAATATTTCTAACATTTTAAAGAAACCCAAACACTCCAAACAAAACCCTAGTTAGAAATGCGGTCAACTCTTCCACTTTTCTTTGCTAGTTTATGGTTTGTTTTTCCCGTGCCTTAAGAGCGGATCTCACTTCCGTTAAAAAAGAGGAAAATGATAAACAACCATCTTAAGCCGGAAGTTGTACTATCTTAAACAGGAAGTCGTACTGGGTGAGTAATTCTTCGTTTTCTTAGATCTACATTGCTCTTTCTGTGAACTCCGCAAACTGTTGCTGCAGGAGTGGGAAGACGACAAGGAGCATGCGCATAAGAAAAGGTTGTTTCAAAGAGCGGACACTGCCTTCTATGTATTGACCTGCGTGGGGTCTTATTGGAGTTTAGGCTAGCCGACTCTTTTTTTTAAAATGATACCGTCACTTAAACCATATCTGCCTGGTTCACAAAGGCACTGTGACTGTGTTTGCCTGGGCATCTTATTCTGGATTAACTAATCTCGATCTGGTTTTGATTGAACGGGAAAAAATTATTTTCATTACATAACAATAAAATGTAACTGGCTACTTTATGGCTCTGTATTGGCGCAAAGTAGTTGTGACTTCAGCCTTCCTTGAAATTAATTGGGACCATATGGTTGACATTAATGCTTATGCTATCTCAAAGGCTAGTCCCCTTTGTAAAAGTGTAATGCTTGATTTGACTGTTGCCTTCAAAAGGGATTTGTTAAGCCAAAAAAAAAAAAAAAACTTTAAACAAATATTTATGCAACTAAAAATTGTTAGTAAATTCCACACTGGATGTAGCATAACAATAAACTTCAAACTAACCCGGCCGACATTTGGCCTATTTTGTTGGGCAACTCATTCTTTTATGATTGATTATTCTGTATGTTGTGTGAACACAGCTAAAAAGTGGCATTTTTTGAAAATCAACTTTACATAAATTTATGTGGGAAAAAAAGCAAAATTGAAGATGTGTTGTGATGGAAGCCACATTGAAGTTGACACATGTAAAAAAGTAAGGTAACCAACTTTTTTATAGTGAAAAGGAGCACACAAATTGAAAAAAAAAACCAAAGCCACTTGTGCGTGGCGCACTCTCTCAAAACAATTCTCCTGTGTGGAGTGCATGCATCTCATAATCGCGTCTCGCTGCACTGTACCAAGCCTTGACGAATCATCATGTCAAATACAAATACGTCATCACACACAATGGATCTGCTCGGCATCGATCAAATATGGAGATTTACAGATTAGTCTTCAAATATCAAAAAGGAGGACATGGAGGAGGATATTTTTCGAGGGAGGACAGAACTTTCAAAAGGAGGATTGTCCTCCCTAAAGAAGGACAGTTGGTCACCTTAAAAAAAGGAGTAGACTGTGCATCGTAACATTGTAAATCTTGCCTTTTTTTATCCTTCCCCTCACTCTCAATAGACACCATTTTCTTACCATAATATATAAACTCATTTACATTGAATCATAATTTTGTCTTTGTGAACAAAGACTAAGATATAGAATATACTAAAAAGGCATGCAGACAGACACACACACATAATTTAGAGGTATTAGCCATTTTGAGAATAATTCTCACAGATAAAATAACCATTCAGTGTGGTGATTGTGGTTTTTTTCTTTTTTCTCATCTTTTCTCTTGCAGTGTTCCTCTTCTTTCTTTCCTAGTGCAGTCAGTGGCTAGGCAAGTGATTAGGCTTAGCAATGTGCCATTTCTTCATGAACATGTCTATTTACTGACAAGTGCAATGTATGTCTTACAGATAATAATTGAGTGGGGTAGTTTATAACCCAGGAGACAAAAATACAATTCAAGATTATTTTAATATATTTGGCAGATGGTCTAACATAATACTAAGAAATTTAACAAATACAAAATTCTGTATTTTACATGCAGAAAGCAAATGCACAGGGTCAGAATGGGAAATACTGTACACGGCTTGGTAATACTACTTGTGAAAAAGATCCTGAATCAGAGGTGGTATTCAGCAGGTTCTGACCAGTTCTGGAGAACCAGTAGCAGAAATTTTGAGTAATTTGGAGAATCGGCAAATATCACCTCTGACTGGAGATTCTGCAATTTCCTTCCCCTGCCACGCCCACCAAGCCACGCCCACAGAACTGGTAGTAAAAGAATTTGAATCCCACCACTGAATTAATATTTCATTGCAAACAAAATAGCAATCAATACTGTGAAAGGGCTGCAACAATGTAAAATGCAATTTTGGACATCAGCAAAAGCATAGTTTCACTTTATTCACTTTATTTATCATACCCACTTCAATTCAATGTCTAGTTCTGAGCATCACATTTTAAGAAAAAAATCAAATAAACACCAAATGATTCATAAAATATTGAACATGTTTTGTAATGATCATGATTAGGGGAATAGAAAAATGTTAGGAAAATTTGAACAGTTTAACAAAAAATAGTGTAGTCCATTAGATCTGTCCAAGCAGAGCTCAGATATTTGTTGTGGTGTTTTAATTTAGATTTTTGCATAGAGCGGGCAACTGGTTTTAGGGCCACAGAACTTCTTCTGACTTCGTAGCAGTGGTGGGATTAATTTTTTTTTACTACAGTTCTGTGGGTGTGGCTTGGTGGGCGTGGCAAGAGAAGGATATTGTAAACTCTCAATTCCCACCCCACTCCAGGGGAAAGTTACTGCAAAATCCCATTCCCTCCCTACCCTACTCACCTGCTTTCTAGCTCTGTTCTCCTGTGCAGGGCAACAAAAGACCCAGCCGATCAGCTGGGACTTGGGGGGTAGAGAATAGATGAGGGCGGGGCCAGTCAGAGGTGGTATTTGCTGGTACACCGAACTACTCAAAATTTCTGGTACCGGTTCTCCAGAACTGGTCAGAACCTGCTGAATACCACCTCTGCTCTGTAGTTCCTAGATTTCATAATATGATTTACATTATTTGAGTCCCACCATTGTGATTTTATAAGTCATGGTTTATGTCTTAGTCTACTAGGTGAATTAAGTTGGTTATGGCTTCATGTGATTTGTAAACTCAGCCAGTTTATGGAGGATGGAACTTATAATGCCAACCTTACTAGGTGTGGAACTTACACACCAATGACCGGTGTAGTTTCGAGCCAAAATGTTGATTTACTCCAAAGAGATAGGTTTAGGGTAATTTCTGTGTCTGTGCAGTTTTCAGTTTCTCTTTTCTTACCTCAAACAGCATAAACACAAATACCAAGCTTTCAAGTAGCTGATTAGTTGAGCACATATACATTTTGCCACTAGTCCTGAAGTATGTGGAACATGAATTCTTTTATTTAAGAAAATAAAAAGTTCCAGAAATAATTAAAAGAACCAAACTACCATACCCACTCTCCATTATAGTATAAATTGTTGGAGAAATACTCCCAGAGAAACCTGTAGGCCTCCTATGTCTTCTCTGCCACCTGGGTGATGAGGTTTCAGTGTATTCTTCTACTGCCAGGATACAGCTCAAAATCTCCCAAACTTTATTAAGAATCTGCAGTCTTAGACAAACAGAGGCTTATTAGGTAAGGTTCCCAGGTGAAAGTCCCTGAATATACTACATACAAGCAAACTTATATAGTAAATTTCATACAAAGCATTTCAAATGGTGCCATAGCACTGGCTAATCTACATTTGATCATTTACACATTTCTAAGGAAGTAATAAATCCATCAAAATGTTACTTTTGACAATCTATCATAATTGTGGCATTTCCAGAGGAATCTTCTAGAGGAGTTATTCCATTATCAATAGCAGCCATTTTGTGGTACAATTTGCATCTCCACTGCAACCTTGAAACTGCATAGCCAGAGTTCCTGTTCACATCCTAATAACAAAGTCATTTTGGCCTCTTTATTAGGACTAAATTCCACATGAAACCCAACCACAATTCCTCTGGGTCCATCCATCTATTACAAAAACCAGTCTCTAAATTATCTCTTTAAAAATAAAATAAAAATGAATTTGCTCTAGGTATTTGTAGGTATCTGTTGTTCTACCTCAGCAGATGGCAGCACCAAATCAATTTTGCTGACTATGGATGTTAAGTAGGTTTGTGGGGCGAGGGAGTGCCTTCCAGTTAGGGTTGACTTCTAGTGACTTCCTGGACTAACTCTGCTGTTTTCCTGGCATGTTTTTAAGAAGTAGTTTGCCTTGCTCCTTCCTAGGACTGAGAAACAGTAACAAGATCGCCTGGGTTGATTTTACACCTAAGGTGGGACTAGAACTTATGATGCCTTTAACCACTACACCAAACTGGCTTTCAAGTAGATTTGGCCCTGGATTTTACTTTAATTGCCCAAAATGAGAAGGAGCCTGGTAGTAGCACCTTTTCAGAATAACAGATTTTATAAAAGGACCTGAGCTTTTGTGAATTACAGCCTACTTTAACTCAAGTCAATAACAGAATCAGTAAAGGGCCTTTTGTGGCTAAGAAGCTTAAAAAAACCCCATCCTACACTAAGGCAATGCCACTTCTGTAATGTTGCTTTAAAACACTGTGGATTCAGTAATCAGAAATCTAACAATCCACACATTTATTATCCATAGTTCCTATCAAAACATTTAATCAAAAATTTATACAAGTGTCTACAGTTTGACACTTTTTATCTTAAATATTTACAGAGTTAATCTAAAACACAAGCTTCTTTGAAAACAAAGTTTAGTATAAAGTGACAGATGCTATTTACTTGTTTTTAGATTTACAGTAGTGTTTCTGATTTATTAGCTCCATTTATCAGACTCACTGGTTACTTATATTTATCAAGAAAGTTCTTTTTGAAAGTGTCTCCATTGTGTTACAGATAAGTTCAAAAACAGCTTGTCTAATATCATTCACTGCCTGTAACATATCTGCATGTAGCAATGGAATATTTGCATTCAAAAACAGTATAAGATCATTGTAAGAAATTACAACAGCATTTGGTATATTTTAGCGCCTTAAATATTGATTTGACACAACTAAATGACTTTTATTCTTTCTCAAAAATCATTTTTAAAAGATAAAATACAATACAAAAACTATTCATTGCATTTTCCTATACAATATATTCTAACCATGTTGAAAACTACAGCGTTTACAGTACACCTTTAGTATACTGAAAAAAAGAAAAACTTACATCTACATGTCATAAAGCTTAAGTTGTTCTTTGATATCAGATTCAGACATATCACCAAAAGTGTCTGATTTTTCCTTTAGAAGGGTGAAGATGGCAGCCAGCTGCTCTCTCTGAACCCTGCCAAGAAGAGAACAACAAAAAGGGAAAAAAATGGGGATACTTTTGTTTTGAGAAAAACTGTGGAGTTTGACAAGATAGCCTGCAATATGGGATGTTTCCTGTCTGAAATTTTTAAAAATGCATGATGGAGATGTGTGAATAAAAGCTTTTTTTAAAACCCTAAGAATAAAAGACTGCACATATTTGACCTGAAATGCTGGGAATCTTGGTTTTGAATCTCCCGTCAAGATGCTTTTTTATGTGGGATGACCCCACATACTTCACATTTTCACTTTTAGCAAGCTATCCCTTGCATGAATTCCCTGATATCATGAATTCCAATGTATATTATGGGTTGTGAACAAATTACACAAGGCACTAGGATTATTCACCTACAAATTAAATAATTTAAATGGGTGAACAGTCTCTTATTGTTCACCCATTTAAATAACAGCACATGTTGTAAGGATCATTTTTAAGAACAAGCGATAGCTAAGAAATCCAGTGCACTTTACAAATGTACTATCATTGTACAGCCACATCATCACTATTTTCTGATACTATGAATAAGGAATCCACCAACTAATCAGTTGAAATGTGGACACAAATGAGGATGCTTGTACAGTACTGTCATTCATTGAATAGGCTGGAGTATGACATTAGAATGGATCTCAGTCTGGATTGATTATCTTACCTACCCTCTTAAGAGACTGGTGTCTCAATCCATCTTCTTCTAACAGGTAGCCCTCAACATCACCACAACTGAGATCAGAATTTCCATCACTAACTTATGGAGTCGTAAAGCATAATGTCACATGATGCAACTGCAATACCAGCAATCCTGGTTGCTGGCATAACTCCAGATGTATGGGTTGTTAAGTGGGAAGCAGACGGGTCCATAAGGAGCATGGGGGTAGTACAAAGGAGTGAGGGAGGCCTGACATAGGCAAGCCATGCGTGAGTTCAGGGGTGTTGGGGAAAGAAGGTATGGGATGTGTGAACACATACGTGCAAGCACAGGGAGGCTAGGGAAGAACTATGCTGCGGCTCGGGGCCTTCTTGGTACACAGAGACTCTGGGACTGCAAGAAGTCCCTGAGCCACAGTGCAAAGCCGCAGCCACCCCTGGAAGCCTCAGCTGCCCCAACCCAGTAGTGCTATACAAAACCATTATGCTATGGAAAGTGCCAACAGCATGGCGCAAAGCCACAGAATTCCAGGAAGTATCAACAGCATGGGGCAAAGCTACTGTGCCCCAGATAGTCCCCAACCCCTGCCACAGTTGCTTTTGCCCTTCTGCATTCTGAGCCCACCCCACCCTCCATTCTGCTGCACCACACAAAGTGTTAACAGCATGGCACAAAGCCAAAGCATCCCAGAAATTGCCCCAGCTACACAGCTGCCACCCATGAAAAGAACTAGATAGGTAGGGGGAAGGTGAAGCACCCTTGAGGTTGTAAATGTGGGCAGGCTGCCAAGTCCAATTTGGATGTGGTCTGACTGTGAAGTGCTGCAACAGCCATAACTTTGGGGACTGGTTGTGTAAGTCACTTTTTCAGTGCTTCTGTAACTTCAAACAGGTACTGAATGGTTGTAGGTTAAGGACTGCCTGTGGTATTTGAACATTAAATGAAACATTTTTTAGGAAGTATTTCCCTTATCTTAGTTTAACAGGAGGATTCTCAGCTTCTTCCATTTTCCCAAAGTTTCCTTGCTTCTGGGCTATCTGCTGAGTATAAGTATGGCAGGTTTGCTGCTAATGCTGCCATAATTCTTGAATAGGCTGTGGCCTGAGCCCTTTTTTGCTTTCACTAATGCTTGTAGGATGCATAGATCTGTCTCTTATTCTGCTTCTGCCATCATCTGCCAGAACTCCATATAACTAAGAGGGCATTTTTAAAGTTTCTAAAGTCTCTCTGGGATGTTTGGGCTAATTTTTAGATGGCCACTGCTCCCTTTCAAGCTCTTAAAAAGCAGAGCCGTCAAGTTGCAGATGCTCTTAGGACTTTTTTTAAAAATCTAAATGCCTATGTGCCTATAGCACCACACCTGTCAGTCCGCCAAGAAAGGGGAGGAAAAAATCCTCAAAAAAATCATGCCAAGTCATAATGTGGCATGTTGGTTTTTAACACAGTGTACAGCAGGCTTGTCCAACCCGCGGCCCATGGGCCGCATGCGGCCCAGGTCGCCTCGTAATGCGGCCCAGTGCCCACCCCAACCTTCATGCCAGAGCCAGCAAGGAGGAGGAGGAGGAGAGGCAGGCGCGGGGCGAGGCGAGCGCCAGGCCAAGCAGCAAGAGAAAAGGCAGGCGCCGTCAGAGCGCCACCTCCTGCTGTTGCCCCTGCCGCCACCGCCGCCGCTTCTGCCCCCGCCGTCGCTGCCGCTGCTGCCCCCGCCACTTCTGCCCCCGCTGCCGCTTCTGCCCCCGCCACCGCTGCCCCCGCCGCCGCTTCTGCCCCCGCTGCCGCCGCTTCTTCCCCACCACCGCTACTGCCCCCGCCACCGCTGCTGCCCCCGCCACCCCCGCCACCGCTTCTTCCCCTGCCACCGCCACCGCTACTGCCCCTGCCACGGGGGCAGCGGGGGCAGAAGCGGCGGCGGGGGCAGCAGCAGCGGGGGCAGAAGCGATGGCAGCAGGGGCAGAAGCGGCAGCTGCGGCAGGGGCAGAAGCAGCGGCGGGGGCAGAAGTGGTGGCGGGGCAGAAGCGGCGGTGGGGGCAGAAGCGGAGGCGGGGGCAGAAGCAGCAGCAGTGGCGGGGGAAGGCTTCTGCCCTCACCGCTGCTGCTGCTTCTGCCTTCCAGTCCTGCCTCATCCAGCCGGGCCATTTGCAGGAGGAGAGGTAGGCGCAAGGCGGATGAGCTTTCTCCCCGCTCCCCCCAAAAAAATTTGGCTGGAAAATAAACCATGATAAAAAAACTGTGATAAAAAAACCATGATAAAAAATAAATATTTTTTAATAAATAATTAATAATAAATAATAAAAACATCTCACTAACTTCATTTCAAAATAAATTTAATATGTTAACTATGTTTTCTATGGTTTTTTTGGATGATCAGGTATCGTTACTGTTATTTTATTTTATGTGTGGCCCAAACCAAATTTTCATCCTCTAATGTGGCCCAGGGAAGGTGAAAGGTTGGACACCCCTGGTGTACAGCATCAATCCAGTTGCCCAGATATGTAGGCAATTTTTCCCCTTGATGTCTTCTTTAGTAATTACAGTGGTACAAATTATAGCCCTGCCATACATACAGGCAAACTGTGGTAGAAAAAGTATTCACCATATGTATATTGGGCCAAACATTTAGGAACTGACATTGGGGGGAACCCTCTTCCTTTTATTGCACTTCTAAAAAGACATGGATTTACAACAAGCTTGGATCAAAATCATTACCAGCTGTGAAAAATGGTTAGCAAGTTTACTTGTATGCAGACATTCTTAGTTAGGACAGTAATTGGTTTTACATCTCTACAGTTGTGTGCAAAAGTTTAGCACTCTTGTTCAAAGTGTGTTTCAATGAATCCCTAAGTTAACAGAACCTTTGCCTAGTACAAAATTAATTTTTCTCTGCAAATTTGAATGCGTACTTACTATTTATGTGTACTGTTAATAAGATTCAAAATAAAACAATGGTGAATATTGCAGGTGTAAAACATGTGTGGATACGTTGCAAATCAGTATTTGTAACATCTCCTTTAGAAAAAATAACCACTTCCAACTATTTCTTGTAACCACCTAGAAAGTGTCTTTCTATTCTTGCTTTTGAAATTTTCCTTGCTTTTCCTTGTAGAATATTTCTAGCTCATGGATTTCTTTGCATGCTATGCATGATTGGGATCTCTTTATAGATTTTCAGTAATATTCAAGTCTGGCGACTGTGAAGGACATTCTTATAGTAATTTAAACTATGGTTTTGTTTTCTAAAGGCAATCAATCATAACTTTCCCAAGTTCCAATTCAAATCTGAATTTATTGGAAGCAAGAGCTGTGTGCATACTGTGCATATTTACAAACACAATGACCAGTCAGGAAAACTATTTAAATGTTTATTGGTCTGAAAAATGGCAATATACATTTTGAAACTGCTAGAAATTATAGTCCTTTGTACAAGATCTACTTTCATATTTAGAAAAACAAAAACAAAACAAAAAACCCACTCAGACAGCAATATGTCATTACTGAAGAGATAGCTTTGCTCATTGCCACTAGTCATTTTCCTTATATATGTATTGCTGCATACTGAAAGATTATATTGTATATAAGGCATTATTTGCATAGTTAATGGTGTTTTGAGTCTATCAATGTGAATTGGAGGCAAAGTGGTTGCTAACAAATATCTCAAAGCGGAGTGTCCTTATATGAATGGGATTTGGTTGCAAACTGTACTATATTAGAGAAAATAGGTATAGGAATGGAAGCTTATCTTTTGCAAATTAATTATGGTCAAAGATTCTGCTGTTTCTTAAATAAGCCTGGGGGACAGGGAATTAGTCTAGAGGAAAACAGTTCTTAAACCTATGTGTCCCAAAGAATGATTGACTAATTAATTTCAAGTATTTCCAAATAATTAAGGTTTTGTTTCAAAAAGTAACAGGGGATAGATTATGAAGCTTTCCCTCAAAACACAGGAGAGCAACATTTTTTAAAAAAATCCAATCTATCAAACAGGAACTGATTATCAGTAACATAAAAAATGATGCGATGCCAGAATAGTGACACAACATAAAAGGATATATCTTTAGTCTTATTTAGGAACTGGTAAAAACTGTTCCTAAACTGGTGAAATTGGTAACCAAAGGGCCATTTTACATTCCATAGCTCACATTTTCAGATTCTATTCTTGGGAACAGGCTTGAAGTGTCAAGTAAACAAAAGCATTAGCTAATGAAGCACTCTTAATCCTTGCAATTAAAATTAGTCACAAATTGTTATACTAAGGCTGCAATCCTATACTCTTATTTAGGAGTACACCCCACTAATGGGACAAACTTCTAAATAAAAAGATAAATCTTTTGTT